CCCCCCCCCCCAACCCCCCCAAAAATAAAAAAATAAAAAGCCCCAACCCTGCCCACCTTAAACAAGAAAACTTATGCAAGAGATTCACTCAGCTAAAGTTGCAATAGCACAAAATCAAAGAAAGTGCTGCCTTGGTAAATCATTTCATTTTTTTCGACAAATAAAGGAGGATGCAAGGCAATGTAAGATAAATAAACCACTAGTCACAAGCTGCATACATTTGGATAAACAAGTGATCGTTGAAATCTAAAAGATTGTGGTAATATAAAACAGTTGGACCATAACAAGTACAATATCACACAACAAATACAATGTCAACAAATGCCTCTCCACTCATTACCAATCGGTTCCGAGTGGCTGCTCTAACAGTATGCTCAACATTTTCTCATGCAACTATGATTGCCAATCAAGAGCCAGATCATTTTGTATTTCTAACCCTACGTCCAAACTGGATCAAAGCATATGCAATTAGAATGTAAGCCTTGGACAGTGGACATCTCCACATAAAAATTTATATTTTCCTTCTCCATGTTGGTATTTTCAAGAGCAGAACATCTGATCCACCAATATTATCAGGTGATACAACTACTAGAGGATGCAATAATCCTTGATCATAATTTTCTAGAACTATTACCAAATAAATAAAAGGGTAAGAAATAATAATTAGGGCATAAACAAAGGAGAAGTTCTCATCCCAAAATTGATGGCACATTTTAGTAAATGTCGTGATTATTTCCTAATGCAATAAATCAAACTTGTATTCCACACTCCCCCTTTTCTACACATACCCACACACCCGCACACGCATGCATCATTAATCATGTGTGCGGGTATCTAAGGCATCTGCACCCAGTAAATGAAGTTATTGAAATGAAAGCCTTTTTCGGATGGCATTAGCATAAAGCAATAACAGTATAAGATGTCAATACTAAACGGTAAAGAGACCACTATCACATAAAAATAAAGTAAAATACTCTAAATTGCCAATGCGGAACCAAACTCCCATTTCTACCACCAAACTGACAAACTGGATCCACTATTTATGTAGTTGGTGTGATTATATTCATGTAGAGCCACAGTTACACGCATAGACCAGTCAACAACAAAATACCCACAAAAATGGATTCGTGAAGGTCACACCTCACATGCCGATTCAACGAACTAAACACACCAAAATCAAAAACTCAAATAAACGGAAAAAAAAAAAAAAAAAAAAAGAGCATAATACAGCATGCAAAATATGCAGCGCAACCGACTGACGCGGATCAAAAATCAAGCAATAAAAAGGTAACACTAGATCAAAATAAATATTAAAGAATTGAAAAACTCAAAAGAATTGAGTAAGTAAAAATATTTTCTAGGGTTTGAGTTCACTTGATCCGTGATCAGAACGTCACAGTACTGTTCGAGGAAAGAGCAGGCTAAGAGACGAAAAGAGTTGTTTACGTACCAGTGTGGATGTGATTTGAGAGATCACCGGGGATCGGAGGGATTCGAAATCGCCGCCAAAGCGACGACGGCGATGAATATACAGGTCGTAATATACGATACTATGTCGCCGAATTCTGGAGAGAGAGAGGGAGTGAAAATTGAGGGGGAGGAGAAGTAGAAAAGGAGAGAAATATATAAAGGCGAAATCGGAAACCCTTTACCAGCAAGGAAACCTTAATTTTATAAAATTTTATTTATAAAAGATTTAGCTTAAAAACTTAAATGAGAGCACCACGAGCATTGTTAGGGCGTGGGTCACGGGCTTGTTCAACCAATTGGACCATGGGCCACTGAATGAATTTAGAGTAAAATCAAATAATTTGGTCAAAAATAAAAAAAAATTATGTCTAAGTAATAAAGTCATTAAAACAATTTAAATGTTATATTATTCAGTCAAATATAAGATCATTTATCATTACTAGAATTTTGAAGCAATCCTAATCATTTTTTTTTAATGCGATCATGGACACTAGGGCCGAAAGCGAAAAAAATAAATTAGATTTTTTTTATTATCAATAATAAAAATATTTTTTTTTAAATATAAAAATATTAATTAAGTTTTTATATTCAATTTTTTGTTATCATAATTGAACTTGGTAAGAAAAANTCAACCAATTGGACCATGGGCCACTGAATGAATTTAGAGTAAAATCAAATAATTTGGTCAAAAATAAAAAAAAATTCTGTCTAAGTTATAAAGTCATTAAAACAATTTAAATGTTATATTAAGATCATTTATCATTACTAGAATTTTGAAGCAATCCTAATCATTTTTTTTAATGCGATCATGGACACTAGGGCCGAAAGCGAAAAAAATAAATTAGATTTTTTTTATTATCAATAATAAAAATATATTTTTTTTTTTTTGGGGGGGGGGAAGACGTAGCTTTAGTTTTATTAGAACCTTTTTACTTTTGTTTTCAAAAAATTAAATGTTAGGACCTTTTAATTTCGTGAGCTGAATTAATAAGCTCGACTCAAGTTCAATTATTTTGTTTAGACTTAAATTTAAGTTTTTTATGAAACTTATTTCTTATGGATTTAGATTTTTTTATTGTGAAAATTAGAGCTAAGTCTTTTTAGATGGATTTTTAATGACTTAAATCTATTTTTTATCTTACTAATAAGTACTTAAATCTATTATTTTTTTTTAAATACCAAAAATATATTTAACAATGTCATTATGTTCAATTATAGAAATAGTTTAAAGACTTTGAAAAATAGCTTTAAATTAATTTTTTAAATTAAAAATTATTATCTCTTAATTCACTCTTAAATTGAAATTCAAATTTATATTCTCTCTCTTGTTAAAAAAAGATCATCACTCAAATATAACAAATATTTCTCCTTAAATATTATTTCTTCCTCTATAACATCAAAATCAGTAGGGTTTGAAACATCATCAACAACTACTATATCTTTTACTGCGTTTTTGTTATCATAAATTTCTATGTCTTTGATTTTTGAAAAAAAAAATTAAAAATTTTGCTCAATGTGTTATTAATTTTGATAAAGACAAAATTCAAGGCATGGACCTTCATGATCCAAGAACCCAAAGAGTCCAGGAACCCTTTGATTGCACAACGACCCCAAATGGGGCACCCACAGCTTGCCCACATCGGAAGTCTAGAAGGCTGAACTCAAGGGAGAAAGCCCAACATCTTCAGAGGGTTTGTAATCCAACCTAACCCCAATCCAATCCAGCTAGTGAATAGCCCAGGTTAGAGAGACACAACCTAATACAAACTTTAGAGTATCCCTTTGCGCCACGTGTCCCTAAGGACAAGGAGGCCATCACTGACACACCCGACAATCACACACTTCTAAATACATAGAGTATTGGTATGCATAACAATTCAGAGATCACAGGCACAATGACTCTAAACGACGGAGGTTGTTGTAGGACAGCAACAAAAGGGCCCATAGAATCAGCCAAAATGAAGAAGGAACCACAAAACCCCTAAAGGAGATGATTTGTATAAATAAAATACTATTAACCTACCACGAAAAGAAGATTATCTTCCCCATTACTCTAAAAAGCCCTAAGAGCATTGGAAAGAGGATAGGAAGCTTCAGTTTTTTAAAAGGTCCAACACTTGTAATATCATCGTCTTCACCAGAGATTAATATACAACCTCAGAGAGTAAGAGTCTCTCTTACAGTGGATGTAGTTTTAGTCCTCCGACTAAGGTGAATCACTTACATTTCATGTTCTTTTATCCACCATCTACTTTCCATTTATTCAACCAATCCACTAACATTCTTGTAATATTGTGTTAGTGGGCTTGAGCTGTTATTTCCGAGCACCATCAAGTTTGATCCCCAATTTTATTTGTATTTATTTGATAAATAATTTTCAAATTTTTTCAATATTTCGTATTATTATTTTTTTGTTGACTATGTTACTATTTTTTTTAATTGATTATGTTACTATTTTTTTTTTCATGTTACTATTTTTTATTGAGTATGTTATTACTTTTTCAGTGTTATTTTTTTTGATACTAAAGAATTTGAGACTTCTTCCTCTAATTACGAGTTTGAATGTTATTTTTATTTTCAATTTTATTCAATGTTCTATATTGCTATTTTTTTTTTCCTGAACATGTTACAGTTTTTATTAAGAATGCCACTGTTTTTGTTAAGAATGTTATTATTTTTGTTAAATATGTTACTATTGTTATTTTAAAAAAATATTAATAATGAATGCTACTATTTTTTTATATTTAAATGTTGCTATTTTTTGTGTTTAAATAATATTATTTTTTATATTTAAATGATAAACTTTTTTTTATATTTGAATGTTACTATTTTTTTTTTTATTTTTTTTATATATATAAGGATGACAGTGGATCGAAATGGGGGCGGGGGGTATAGTCTTCATCCCTGTACCTGTTTAAAAAAAATTTGTCCCCTGTTAATAGGTATAATTTTTATCATCATCCTTGTTCGCGGGTAAATTTGTAATTCTCGTCTCCCACCTTCAACTCTGCCCCCCACCCCCCGTCCACCTTACCCGCCCAAGTCAGAGTCTAAGCCCAAANATTTTTTTTAAATACCAAAAATATATTTAACAATGTCATTATGTTCAATTATAGAAATAGTTTAAAGACTTTGAAAAATAGCTTTAAATTAATTTTTTAAATTAAAAATTATTATCTCTTAATTCACTCTTAAATTGAAATTCAAATTTATATTCTCTCTCTTGTTAAAAAAAGATCATCACTCAAATATAACAAATATTTCTCCTTAAATATTATTTCTTCCTCTATAACATCAAAATCAGTAAGATTTGAAACATCATCAACAACTACTATATCTTTTACTGCGTTTTTGTTATCATAAATTTCTATGTCTTTGATTTTTGAAAAAAAAAATTAAAAATTTTGCTCAATGTGTTATTAATTTTGATAAAGACAAAATTCAAGGCATGGACCTTCATGATCCAAGAACCCAAAGAGTCCAGGAACCCTTTGATTGCACAACGACCCCAAATGGGGCACCCACAGCTTGCCCACATCGGAAGTCTAGAAGGCTGAACTCAAGGGAGAAAGCCCAACATCTTCAGAGGGTTTGTAATCCAACCTAACCCCAATCCAATCCAGCTAGTGAATAGCCCAGGTTAGAGAGACACAACCTAATACAAACTTTAGAGTATCCCTTTTGCGCCACGTGTCCCTAAGGACAAGGAGACCATCACTGACACACCCGACAATCACACACTTCTAAATACAGAGAGTATTGGTACACATAACAATTCAGAGATCACAGGCACAATGACTCTAAACGATNTTTGTATTCACAACAACATGTATATATATAAAATAATAATAACGGGTAAAGCAGAGCGGGGCGGGGGTAAGTGTCAGCCCATCCCCGCACGGGTTTATATGAATATCTCCATATACGTCCACCGTTCAATACGTATGGTCTATCCCCGATCCAAAANATGATTTGTATAAATAAAATACTATTAACCTACCACGAAAAGAAGATTATCTTCCCCATTACTCTAAAAAGCCCTAAGAGCATTGGAAAGAGGATAGGAAGCTTCAGTTTTTGAAAAGGCCCAACACTTGTAATATCATCGTCTTCACCAGAGATTAATATACGATCTCAGAGAGTAAGAGTCTCTCTTACAGTGGATGTAGTTTTAGTCCTTCGACTAAGGTGAATCACTTACATTTTGTATTCTTTTATCCACCATCTATTTTCCATTTATTCAACCAATCTACTAACATCCTTGTAATATTGTGTTAGTGGGCTTGAGTTGTTATTTCCGAGCACCATCAAGTTTGATCCCCAATTTTATTTTTATTTATTTGATAAATAATTTTCAAAATTTTTCAATGTTTCGTATTATTATTTTTTTGTTGACTATGTTACTATTTTTTTTAATTGATCATGTTACTATTTTTTATTGAGTACGTTATTACTTTTTCAGTGTTATTTTTTTTGATACTAAAGAATTTGAGACTTCTTCCTGTAATTATGAGTTTGAATGCTATTTTTATTTTCAATTTTATTCAATGTTCTATATTGCTATTTTTTTTTTCCTGAACATGTTACAATTTTTATTAAGAATGCCACTGTTTTTGTTAAGAATGTTATTATTTTTGTTAAATATGTTACTATTGTTATTTTAAAAAAATATTAATAATGAATGCTACTATTTTTTTATATTTAAATGTTGCTATTTTTTGTGTTTAAATAATATTATTTTTTATATTTAAATGATAACTTTTTTTTATATTTGAATGTTACTATTTTTTTTATTTTTTTTATATATATAAGGATGACAGTGGATCGAAATGGGGGCGGGGGTATAGTCTCCTTCCCTGTACCTGTTTAAAAAAATTTTGTCCCCTGTTAATAGGTATAATTTTTATCATCATCCCTGTTCGTGGGTAAATTTGTAATTCCCGTCTCCCACCTTCAACTCTGCCCCCCACCCCCCGTCCACCTTACCCGCCCAAGTCAGAGTCTAAGCCCAAACCAATATAATCTAAAATTATAAATAAATCTAACATTCTAAATTATTTAACATAATTATAAAATATCATAACATAATTAAAAATTTATCATTTAAAACATAATATAATTAAAACTTTGTTTACAACATAATTCAATATAATATAATTAAAAGTTTGTCTCCCTTGTAAGTCCAACATAATATCATGCAACACAACATAATGTAATATAACATAATCTAACATAAAAAAATATAAAAACAAAGATCTACACTTTTACAAGCCAAAACCATTAAAAAAAATAATTTTCAAAAGAAAAAATCATTCAGTAATATGTAGATTTGTATTCACAACAACATGTATATATATAAAATAATAATAACGGGTAAAGCAGAGCGGGGCGGGGGTAAGTGTCAGTCCATCCCCGCACAGGTTTATATGAGTATCTCCGTATATGTCCACCGTTCAATATGTATGGTCTATCCCCGATCCAAAAGAAATTAGTTTGGACAAATACTCATTTATCCGGTCTACTGCCATCCTAGATATAGATAGATATGAGAGGAAAAAAAATTTAATATTAGTCAAATTTATAAAATTTAGGAGTTTTTAATTTTTAATTTTATTTCACTTCTAAAGGGAATGGATAGTCTGATAAAATTGACAAAAAACGGACTTCATAACAAATAAATTTTTTTGTCGGACTTAAGTCCAAATAGAGAGACCGACACCTAAATTTTTATTTTTTATTTAGACTATTAATACACACCTTAAAATTATGCAACCTTAGTTGAAGTAAGACCTAAAATTCAGACTTTAAGAGCCCAGTGATTGGGGCGGCGCCGATGGGCAGACACCTTTCTAGAGAGTTTCTCTCAGTTTTCCAGTGCCTAAATCATTTTTCATGGATGGTGACACAGGCCAATGTCTTTCTTAGCATATTAATCCATTAATGTGACTCAGACCAAAAAAAAAAATTCAAGGTTACTGTATCAATTTTTTCAAGTTCGAGCATGCTGACACAAGCCCATGTCTTGTTTAGTGTATGAGTCTATTAAGGTAACTTAGATAAAAAGCTTTTAAGAGTTATTATATGGATGTTTCAAGTTCAACTCTCATAACAGTTTTATTAACTTGACACACATGATTTGCATACATCCTTGGGTACATCTAGAATTTAGATTAAAATTAGGAATTAAAAGAATGAGGGGAGATGATATGCTTAAGACGATCTAACCCTCCACCTATTTTCAAATTCCAAATTCTTCGACAAAACTTTAGAACAGAGCAGTTGATAAACGGTGGTTTTGAGTACAATTTTTTTCAATCCTAAATTATTTGTTGTTGATTCAAGTGAAACGTGCTATACATAAATGAGAACTCCACCAATACTTATTATTGAGGTGAATTGCGGAAAAATGTATTGGAGGACAATCAATTGTATATCTTTTACAAAAGTGAAATTGCATAACAACTTTTATNGTAACTTAGATAAAAAGCTTTTAAGAGTTATTATATGGATGTTTCAAGTTCAACTCTTATAACAGTTTTATTAACTTGACACACATGATTTGCATACATCCTTGGGTACATCTAGAATTTAGATTAAAACTATGAATTAAAAGAATGAGTGGAGATGATATGCTTAAGACGATCTAACCCTCCACCTATTTTCAAATTCCAAATTCTTCGACATAACTTTAGAACAGAACAGTTGATAAACAGTGGTTTTGAGTACAATTTTTTTCAATCATAAATTATTTGTTGTTGATTCAAGTGAAACGTGCTATACATAAATGGGAACTCCACCAATACTTATTATTGAGGTGAATTGTGGAAAAATGTATTGGAGGACAATCAATTGTATATCTTTTACAAAAGTGAAATTGCATAACAACTTTTATGCTCCCAACATCTTTAGNTCAAGTGAAACGTGCTATACATAAATGGGAACTCCACCAATACTTATTATTGAGGTGAATTGCGGAAAAATGTATTGGAGGACAATCAATTGTATATCTTTTACAAAAGTGAAATTGCATAACAACTTTTATACATAACACACATATGAATACATGACACATGCAATTGATTGGCTCATTTTTGACATATATCCGCGAAATATTTGCAACCAGATTATTGACCCTTTTTGGACACATATCCGTGAGAAAATACAAGTTCCTCGTTTTTCATATAACATCTTTCGAGCAATGACGAGATTTGTGTATANTTTGGACACATATCCGTGAGAAAATACAAGTTCCTCGTTTTTCATATAACATCTTTCAAGCAATGACGAGATTTGTGTATACAGCAGCTCATATGTATCTGCAAATGTTGAACTAAACAAGCCAACTAGAAAAACAGACACATTAGCACACGGAATGTAGGAAATTAATTGTTTTGTCTTGAAAAGCAGAAGAAGAAAAAAAAAGTTCATAATTTATAAGCATCAAAAGTTTATGGTAACTCCATTTTTCCAGTATTGCAAGCATCCAACTATAAGAACTTTTGAGTCAACTGAGCAACTCTCCGGCTACTTTTTTCATCATGCCTTTGATCTGTAAACGGAACAAAAACAACAACAATACATGCATGTTTCAATTGAAAATGGAGAAAAATTTAAAGGAAAAACTGAAAAGTCAAGGTAATTACTCAAGTAGGATTTGTGAGAATAATAGTTTTATCATGTGTCATAAAACATACGTAGAAACAGAAGTAGTAAAAAGTTCCAGTTAAAATGGGAGAAGTGGTAACAAATATACCTGTTTTCCTGAAAGACCGATACCCTGCAAATCATCAAGCTGCAAGGCAAAGCGTTTGCATATGAAAATCGACTAACAAAAAAGTTCAATAGGCCTAATAATTTAAAAATTTCTTACATTCTTGAAGGGTTCAGGAGATTCTTGACGAAGTTCAAGAATGTAGGTGGCTCTTTTCTCCCCAATACCCTATAGAGACATATCATACAAGACTTAGAAATTTGCCAAATATATAGGGAGCAATGTTTATGTGAAATTTGAAAGGTAAAAAACTCTACCCTTAATCCTTTCAATTCTTCCCTGTAATAATAGAAAATAAAAATAGCATCAATCAGTTTGAATTATCGTACCTGCAATAATAAAACTAGATGTGCTTCTGAGCAAAAAAAAAAGGTTGTGAACAACAAAAAATGTTCATTGATTCCTTGAGCTTTTACAAATTAAAACCAGTTGAGCACTTTTACTTGATGCTCAACCAGAGTGGTCCTCCACGTTTCTCATTACATGTACACCAAGCACTTCATTTAGAGATGAAAATTTNTTGAGCTTTTACAAATTAAAACCAGTTGAGCACTTTTACTTGATGCTCAACCAGAGTGGTCCTCCACGTTTCTCATTACATGTACACCAAGCACTTCATTTAGAGATGGTGCTTGCTAACACTACATATAAATGTACTTTGGCTCATTGAACTCAAGGACTAGAGATGTTTCAAGTGTTGAGTTGAGTTGAGTTTCCATCCTTGGTGATTCTAGTCTATGGGCTTCAAACCCATCCTTTTTGGCCAAATGGGAATTTCTTCGAATAAATTCCTTAACCATCATGCCTCTTTGCTGCAAGAAGCCAACTGCCACGGCCCACTTCTCGAAGGATTCAGAGAACTCTAGAGTGGAAATTCCAGAGTAGTCTAGGCCTTCTTCACAGAACATTCTAGATTATACTAGAGATGGAAAGAGAAGCCTAGAAAAACATAGTATTCTAGAGAATTTTTGGGTAAAGAGAAAATTCTTGTACTTTTATATATTATAGATGTTTGTATGGAATATTCTAAACATAGACTAGATGTAGGACACTTGGATTAATCTTAGTCATTCATAATAGGGACAAACAGTCACATAAAAAAGTCAAGGAAGTGTAATTTCCTCTTGTGTACTACAATACTTCCATTCTCTCGAACTCTCTTGTCCTCTCCTTGTGTATTCTCTAGCAAGTTCTCATGAGCTTATATTTTATTTGGACGAGTCAAGATAGATATATAGAGGGAAGGATATTTTTCTTTTAATGCCCGTAACACATGAATCATGAGTAGAAAATATCCATTTATTTAAAAAGTCCAAACACTCATATTCAAATAAATTAATACATAAAGAAAATTTGAAGAAAGCATTTACTCACTTGCTAGCAGTATTTAAAAACTTCAGATATTCTTTAACAAGAGAATGCTGCAAGAACAACAAATGAACTGAAGTTAACCACATTAAAGCCATCAACATATTACACAGTGAAGTTTTTAAAAAAGTATGCTTCAAAAGTTAACCTTTATTCCCGAACTTCGATTATTGAGCGTTTCCCAAGGGCTATTAAATTTTGCAACCTCCAATTTATCATATATTCTTGCATCATGATCCATAGTTGGGGTTTTTGGTTCGACAATATCATAAGAGACTACTTGACCCCTGGACGGAGTATCAACTTCCATTTGTATCTTTTTGCATAGAGGAGTTGAAGAATATAAAGACCTCAAGTTGTTTGATATTTCTCGTAGTCTAGCACTCAATGGTGGTGATCGACCTTCATTTATGAGCAAACTTGTGTTCTCTTTTTCTAGGTCATAACCTGTCATGGCATAAAATAAAAAAAGCAAATAACAAAAGAGTCAGAGTCATATCTCATATCTTGCAAATAAACTTTGAGGGTTTATGTGTACTTACAATCTTCAAAAATAGTCAATGCTTTGGCATCACTATTAATAGCTGCGGTAGCTTCTAAATGATTGCTCATACTTTGCGGCGAAACATCCTGAGAAATAAAAGAACATTCTTGTTATACAAAGCAACTTTCAAATGTCGGTACATCTGAGAAAACCAAACAACATCATCGACTATATAAAGGAAGCCGATAGTAAAGTTTCCAGAAGGGAATTCAAACCAGACTGTGTAACTTGGTTAATTAACATCTTTAGTGAATATCAAGACTCATACAATAGTTCAATGACTTTTCCACTTCAGTAGTTGGTTCATTTTCCCTTAAGGGCAACATACAAATCTTTCAGTGTTACAATGACATCAATTGTTACAATTTAGCTAAAACAATCCATTTCTACCTCGTCCTTGGGTAATCGTGCCAAAAGCATATCCGATCCCGACAATTCCTGCAGACAGTGACAGTTTCAAATCAAAAGTTCATTGAGTACTATAAGTAAATTCATATACAACTTTTCTCCGAGCACTGTACCTCTTCCAATAATTTGGGTGTGTAATTTGGTTGATAAACATCTTTAGCAAGATTTTATCCATATAATATATCAAGACTGTAAAGCAATAATCCATTGATTGACTTCAGTAATTGGTTCATTTCCTTAAGGGCAAATGGGCAATAGACAACAAAGCTTTCAGCGTTACGACATCGATTGCTGCAATTTAGCAAATACCAAACCATTTTTACCTTGTCCTTGGGTACTGGTGCCAAAAGCATATCTGATTTGGCTGATTCCTACAGAGAGTGATAGTGTCAAATCAAAAGTTCCTCAATTGAGTACTGTAAGTAAATTCATCTGGACTTTTCTCCTACCTCTTCCCGTAAGGAAGGTACAATGGCTGAATCAATTTCTGTCAGAAACATTGACTGCATAGTTGAAGCATCATCTGAATGGGACTTAGCCTGCATCAAGTTTTAACCGCTCTTACAAGTTGGAATCCATGGCATTTTCAAACACACCCATATTTTAAAACAAAGAAAGTTCACATCGGGCAAAATTCAAATTTATTAAGCAGATCAAAAGAGAGCAGAAAAGTTGGCACAAACGAGAATAGAGACTTGGTCACTAACCTGAAAAATTTATCATGCAACAATATTTCATTATTTTGGACTTCAATAAGGACCAGAGAAAACCAACCTCAAATGCATCTTACAATTTCCTTCTTTGGATTTCCGCATGCAAGGCATGGGGTTGGGAAGAGAAGAAAAAATATCACACAAGTTCTTAATATGTAATAGGATGGGGTAAACAAACCTGTTTAGAACTGCTCAAATTTCCTTCATCAAAGAGTTTCCTTCAAAAGGAAAAAGAAAAGTTTCTTAGTTGACTTTGTTATCAAAAATTATGTTCAGAGATAGGAGAAGTTATTTAGTTAACTCTGTTACCTTCCCTTCACCATGCAGCTTGCTTTCTTTTCAGAGAAATGTGCTCGGGACACAGATTGTTTTTTCACAGCAGTGGAAACAGTAGAAGGTTTCCCATTTTTCAAGGATGAAACCACCATTTGCTTGGTTGAACCTCTAACTTTCTTTGAGGAGTCTGTCATTACTCGGTTGATGCCTTGACACGACCGAGAAGCTGAACTAACTGCATATAGAGTGTCTCGGCAAAAAGATGGATTCTGCACCCAAAGTTAATTAAGATTGAAATGTGCAAAGTTGTAGACAAGTTCAGAAAACTTCAAAAAGCAAAATAAAACTCTTACCAAACAAGTGAGCATCAGTACGTGATTTTTCCCTAAGGAATCTTGCAGCATGCGAGTCAATTTACTTTCACGATATGGCACACGACTCTCATTGGCATTGATGGCATAAACAACATTCAGTAAGGCATAGAGAGACTTATTGATTCTACTACTCTCAACAAAATAACTGCCATCACTACTACTTCTTCTGACATCCTCGTACCCTAATAAAGATGCATCAAATAGGAAATATTAGAATTAGTGAATGGAAAAATTGGATATTTGCTTTTAGCTTTAGAATTTGTTAAAAAAATATAGAAAATTTAGACCTGCTAGATCAACAAAATTCATCTTGCTCATCTTAGTAAAATTTTCATTGCAAGAGGACACATATATTATCAAACCCTTGTGGCTCTTTTGTGGCAGCTCGAGCGCTATTTTTTGTGCTGGTTTATAAGAATTACATCCATTAAAGTACATCTCTTGAAATTCTGAGATGGATTTCACGGAGACCTAAAAATATAATTAAAAGAAGAAAGTAGGTTATTCACAGTATACTACAAATTAGATCACTCTTATAGAACAGTAAAAATATCACGAAAACCCTATTAACTTGCCTGAGAAAGCCCTCTAAGATTAACTTTGCCTTGAGCATCATCCAATACTTGAACCTCGGGATGTTTAGGATCCAAGATATCATAAACATGGTCCTGAAACACCTCATATAAAGACACACCAACTGACTTCCCAAATTCCTTTGCCATTGAGATGATTTCAGCCATTGCTAGCACAGCCAAACCAGGTTTCTCTTCAGAACCCTTTGATTTGGCAAGATATCAAGAGAAAGCATCCAATGAGTTTCCGGATAAGGTACATGACGTCGTCACATAATCACATCATCAAAACAGAGCGAAAAAGGATATGCAAGACAAAGACAATACACAATTACCTTAACTGTATAGGTTTTTCCACTGCCTCTAGCTCCATAGGCAATAATGGTTGCGTTAAGACCATCAAAAACCTCTGAAACCAGAGGCTTTATCTCTCTTGAAAATATGACGCCAATATCCTCGTTTTGTTCATAGCAATAATCCACTTCACTAGCATCTTTACGACTGCAAAGACAAGAAAGAACTAATCTTCGTATATATCAGGCAGCAAGATTAAAAGCATGAAAACAAGAAACTCGAAAACTAATGATGTTTGTACCAATAATTTTTGCACTAGATTAAAGTAAAGGGGAAAAACAAGGAAAATTCAGTCTCCTAATACAAAAACGTTATCACTGACTAATCTAGAACCTGAAATTCTAAAAAGTATAGTAGAATTAGTATCACTTCAAAAGTATAATGTCACATATATAAAAGAGACACGGAAACAGCCTTTAAGACCGCATACATTTAACCCTCTCAGACTCGGCGGAAGTCTCGTGTACGTCATTTTATTTTATATAAAAGTGGATTATAGGGTTTTATCCCTCGGCCACAAAATCTGAAAAAAACAGTCAATATTCGAGAACTAATCACATGTTCAAAATCTACGCTTGTATCGAATTCAGAAGCCCTAATCTTGAGAGAAACTAACAGAGGATAGAACCCAAAATCAACAAGAAACTGAACATGGGGTTTTGGTTTTTCAATTTGAGCACAATAATCTATATAGTCAGTCGTTTTTGAGTTTTTAATTCCAGAACTTAAAAATCAAAGAAGACAAATACCTCGTTGGTTGTTCTCCAAAGGAGATGGTAACCTTTTCAGATAAAGCACCTTCCTTGGGTTTGTGCACACAAATCCAAGGTGTCGGGTTTCCAATTACAGATTGAGATTCTTGATCCGTAAAACCCCGAATTTTAGCTACAATTCGAACTTTCCGAGATGGGTTTGAGCACAAATTGGGTTTCATGCGATCTGGGTCTGCTGTGGATGAAGCCATTGATTTTCTTCCTTCTAGGATAATTTGAGGTTGAAACTAAATACCCCAAAAGCTTGATATTCAAGGTGATGATTATGATCCTCTCCAAAAAAATGGTGATGAATATGAGAGCGGTGAAACAGGCAGAGAGAGAGAGAGAGGAAAAACGATTGATTGTTTTTGGATAAGTAGCCGTTAGGTCTTCTTGTATTCGAATGTGTGTGTTGCCGCTCATCGTACGCTCTTCATGAAATGAAGTGTTCTGCACAAGTTTTGTGCAAGGTCAAATTCGTCAAAGCGGCGGAGATAACGGGCTCAATGACAATACTCGTGAAAACGATACAATCACGATACTAAATTAGATAATTTAAGGTCTTGTTTGTGTCATAAAAAATTAATATTCAAAAATTATTTATGAAAAGTGTTTTAAAAAATTATTCTGCTATTTTTTGTATCACAAAATTTGTTTAATTATATAATTTTAAAAATAATTCTATAAAATGGAAAACACTAAAACTTATTTGGACAACAATTCAAAAAATAATAAAAATAAAAATGTGGTGATGAACGTGTGGTGGTGGTGGTGGGGGTGAGAGTTGTGATGTTTTCTAAATTATAAAAAGATTGTTTTAAAAAACATATAAAACAAAAACAGTTTTTATCATTTTTCAAAAAATAAAAATAAAAAACAGCTTGCCAAACATTTTTTCTTCCAAAAACTGTTTTTGAAAACAAAAAAAGTAGTTTCTGCAAATCAAATTGGGCCTGAATTTTTGTTAAGCACTTGTGTCATTAATGAAATTCAACACGACATAATTGATAAATGAATCGAATATGAATGTAATTAATTAAAATAATTATATAATACGAATCATTTTTATATTAATTATAAATGATTTATGCACGATATGAACTCAATATAACATAATTCATTTGACACAAATTAATAAATGAATCATAAATTGATGAAATACTTTTAACATGAACTTGTTAAAAATTCGATATGAACTCGTTTTACCTAATACAAAGAAAAACCTATTATGTTGTAGCGATTAGAGTTGATAACTAAGCCAAACTTGGTTCAAGTTTGGGCTCGGATAGGACTCGATGAACTTGAACAATTTTTTAAATTCGTTTAGAAAACAAATCTACAAAAATTTGACTCAAACTCACAAATTTTGGTTCGTTTATATATAGAATAGTGGAGATGTTTGGACTCGGCTCAAATTTGATTAGTTTTGAGTTTGGCTTGAGTTTGACTTATTTTTTAAACGGGTCGAATTTTAACAATTTTTTAAATTCGTTTAAAAAAATTAACTCGAAAGACTCGACTTAATTAACAGACTCACCGGCAGTCAAGCTTTTTTATATTGGCCGCCGGTGGACTGCAAGCCTGACGAGTGTTAGGTGGGAGGTCAAGCCCAGGCCCATATGAAAGGTGTATCTGAACATTGGGCTCAAGTTTTCTAGTCCAAATATGTACAGTTTGCTCTTGTTATTATTTGAGATAAATTTCTTGAACCCCACTCTATTGTTGTGTGTGACAAGAAAAAAATTGAGTTTCGCAGTGCCTGTTGTGGTTAATTTGATTTTAGACCTGAAGATGACAACTCTGCAACATGGTATTTATCTATTCTTTTGTTCCGTCAAACCTTCAAAATTGCTTCTAGATTAACAAATTTCTATAGGTTTATGCCTTCAACTTGACAAGGTGTTTGTAAACTGAAGCATGTGCATCTTTATTCTTGTTCTCATTGTTTTTTCTGATCTGCATGTGCATCTCTATTCCTAAGAATTCACAGAACAAATGCTGTAGTCTTACCCAACAGTTTTCTAGGTGGATGTACTATAGAATAATGTGTGAAATATGAGCATATTTCAACAATCATCCAGTGTTTGCTCCCATTTTTCCTTTTTTTTTTTTTCACACTTAAAAAGGGCTAATTTGATTATATCACACCAGACATAATCTTTCTAAGGACTCGCATAAATTGTTTCAATTTTTAAACAAGAGACGAGTTATAAATCTGCACATTCTTATCTCAGGTCATCTGACTGTATAAAACCAAATTAATAGATACTTGAAGTTTATAGGTATATATGTGAAACCGAAATTTGTGTTGTAGGCAAGAATCCAAATACATTGTTGAAACGATTCACCGTTACTGAAAAAAGGAAAGGAACAAGAGACGCTTACTGCATTTGACCAACACACCACCACCAATCCTGCCTGCTGCTGCCCATCTGCATACATATTTTCGAACCCAAGCCTCGTTTTCATTGACCTTCTTCTCATAAAAGTCCAAGAAAAATAAGTACTTAAAAAATGGCCAAATTGCAGAGTCAACCTTTACATTTATTTCACAACTATAAAACTTGTCCTCCAACCTTGGTATGTTAATCTCTCTCTCTCTCTCTCTCTTGAGTGTGTGTGTAGTATAGATATAGTTTTTGTTGTTTATGTTAATATGAAAGGCATATTTGCTACTATATTATGGCAATAGGTAATACTTAATGGTTGTCTCCTGCTTAATGTTCACATCTTTGTTGGGGTGGCTATGGGTTTGTTTATATGGGTTCCTCTGTTTGACTAGATCTTAGTTGTCCTCACATCTATTTTGTCCTTTTCAATAAATCATGGTGTTGATTTTGATGAATCCTTATGATACAAATTCAATTCCATAACAGCAAACAAATATACCTAAGGTGGTATTCTTGACATTTGGACAAACCTTTGGGTAGGCCAATGTAGTTTTCCCTTTTATATTTTCATGGAAGAGAAATGGAGTGCAGGCCTAAGTCTGTTTTTGAAGTGCTAATAATATAGGGAGGGAGACGAAAAGGTCTGACCTGCGACCTTAAGGCCCAACAGCAAGAGCAGTAGCTATTACACCAACTATTAACCTTGAATGAATGCATTTGAGTGCATTTTTTTTAGTATCACTGCTTTTTTGTAGACATATCTTATCATCTATTTAAGACCCCAACCCAACTGAACAAACTAACTCAATTCTAATTTTCCTAAACTACAATGTCTGAGTCTCAAACTTCCATAGAACTTCCTGTATTTGACATCTCACAACCCTTAAGCCCATCCTCTCTCTCCACCCTGTCTCTAGCCTGCAAAGAATGGGGTTTCTTTCATATCACCAACCATGGAATCTCTAAAGATCTTTACAAAAAACTCCATTCTCTTTCAAATTCTCTCTTCGATCTTCCTTCTGAGCTGAAACTCAAAGCTGGCCCCTCATCAAACATAAAGGCCTACACTCCTCATTTCATTGCCTCCCCTTTCTTTGAGAGCCTCCGGGTGTCTGGACCTGACTTCTTTGCCTCTGCACTGTGTTCTGCAGAAGTCCTCTTCAATCAGCCTAACTCAGAATTCAGGTAAAAGAACATATGTTAGCATATGAAATATTCTTTTTATCACCTGAGTGAAACATGAACCTAGGAAAAACCATGAAATAGCATTGTCTAATAATGTTTTCTACCATGGCATTTCAATACAATGTTTCCCTTAAATCGTATAGGCTGCCAACAGAGCCCGGAAATATCAGTAAAAATGATACTTGAAAGTTGAAATTATCAAGTTTTCTTGAATGCCAACAATGTCTTGTAGACTTTATTCAAATACCATTTCTTTGAAGATAATCAAACAATGTGGACATTGTATAAATGCCATGTAAATCAAAATTCAAAGCTTCTTCTTATAATTTATGTAAATGCTTTGAAATCCTCCTAGTATTTATGTCATCTTTGTTGAGTTTGATCATTTTTTTTGTACATTCTTTTGTTCTTTGTTCTAGTGAAATCCTGAAAGAGTATGGATACAAAATGACAAACCTATCCAGGAAAATTGTAGAGATTGTACTTATGTGTTTGGGGGATGGATTTGACAAGAAATACGAATCTGAATTCAGAAACTGTCATGGTTATTTAAGAATAATCAACTACAGCCCACCCGTGTCACAGGCAGAGAAAGAAGTTGAAGGGCTTGGCATGCATACTGACATGAGCTGTGTAACCATTGTTTATCAAGACGAGGTTGGCGGGCTTCAAGTGAGGTCTAAGGAGGGGAAGTGGATGGACATAAATCCATGTCAAGCAACCCTTGTGGTTAACATTGGAGACTTACTGCAAGCTTGGAGCAATGTGAAGTTGAGGTCATCCGAGCACAGAGTTATTTTGAGGCGAAGTGTGAATCGATTTTCCCTTGCTTTCTTCTGGTGTTTTGAAGATGACAAGTTGATATTTGCACCTGATGCAGTGGTGGGAGAAGGGAACTTGAGGGTCTACAAGCCATTTGTTTGTGTGGATTATCTGAAATTCAGAGAGAACAGTGAGAAAGGGAAGTTTGAGAAAGTTGGATTTACTGTGAAAGATTTTGCGGGAACTGGAGGATGAAGATTCTTACTTTCTTTACCATACACATTCATTTGTTGATTCTTTCTTTGGAATAATGACAATTTCTTAACCGTTTAAGCTACACATTACAGTTTGAGTCCAAGAGTCGATTTCTCCAAAATGAGGATAAAATTGTTTATCGTTTATTTGTCTCGGTCAAACATGATTAATTACATGCATAAATTTTCTCCCATGTTTTAGTATAGGCGGTATGGCATTTGTGTACAAGATATGATTTTTTTTTCTTTTAAATTTGAGTTTGTTAGTATTGTTTTTGAGGTTTGAGTACTTTTTGGAAGTTTCTTGGGGGATTAGTTACATTTTCTTTTATTGCAAAAGTTTGTTATGGACTTCATTTGCAAGTCAACATGTGTGCTTATGAATTATATTATTTATAGGATTCGGTGGCTCATTTTTCGCCTCCATCAAATGAAAACTTAGAGTTGACGTTTTGAATTCAAACACGAATGATCTATATATGGATGAAATACGTATGGTGTAACTGAAAAAATAGTGAAAGAGAATTTAGGTGGTCGACCCTTAAAAATATTGAAGGATGATCTCTCTCTCTCAGCTTGGTCACAAGCCTCCTGAATGAATATGTTTTTTTTTTTTTTTANACACGAATGATCTATATATGGATGAAATACGTATGGTGTAACTGAAAAAATATTGAAGGATGATCTCTCTCTCTCAGCTTGGTCACAAGCCTCCTGAATGAATATGTTTTTTTTTTTTTTTACCTGAACTGGGTCCATAATGATCATTACATTGTCAAACGATGGAAATTGTATTAATTCAGTGGTTGGCCATGAAATGGTGCATGATTGGTGGCAATGGGGCCTAAACAGGTCACTTTACATCTCAATTTGCCTGGCCACCTTAGATAACTCTGCACACCAATAAATGTTCCCTCAAATGAGTACTAGCAATTCTGGAGGGTAAAATTCTTGGTAAAAATGTCTCTCTCTCTCTCTCTCTCTCACACACACACACACACACACACACAGCTTAAAAACAAAAAAATGGGGGCCCAAAAATGATTTATTCCACTTCTTCAAGGGTAGAACAATTTAGAGTAGCAAATCAACTTTCAAACAAAACCTTGAACTTACATCGAGTATACCAAAGAGTAAGGATCATGAAGATGTTTTCACAATATCAGAGAGTAAGTTGTTAAACTCTTGCCTAGCCTCACTATCTCCTCATACCAAATTTCACAAACGACTGCTACAAATTGCCCTTTCTTAAGAGGAGGAAAGGAAAAGAGCAAGTAGCAGGTGCATGAGGTNTCACTATCTCCTCATACCAAATTTCACAAACGACTGCTACAAATTGCCCTTTCTTAAGAGGAGGAGGAAAAGAAAAGAGCAAGTAGCGGGTGCATGAGGCTACCCATCAGCAGGCATTACAACTCTACCCATCAGCAGGCATTACAACTCTTCATACATGTACCATAGTAGTCAGGAGATCCAACCATGAAGACAGGATTCCTTTGGCACTCCCCGATGGCAGCCCAACGTGGACAATTTTCATCTTCATCCGTGCAATCACTGTCGACTGATTGGGAAGGGACTTTTTCGCTGCTGATGGTTTTCACATGGAAGAATTTGGTGGCACACCACATTTCACCTTCAGGGACAGGGCATCTAGCATGGGAGCTACTCTTGTCAGCTGTGGCATTGGGAAAGACACTGAAGAACAGAATTGCATTGCCTTTAGTAGGCGTCAGGATGTGGCTACTCTTTGTACAATCAGCCCAAATCTTGTCTTTCAGTTGAGCGTTTTCTAACTGAGTTACAAGGAAATCGAGTGACAACTATAAAGTANGTCAGCTGTGGCATTGGGAAAGACACTGAAGAACAGAATTGCATTGCCTTTAGTAGGTGTCAGGATGTGGCTACTCTTTGTACAATCAGCCCAAATCTTGTCTTTCAGTTGAGCGTTTTCTAACTGATTTACAAGGAAATCGAGTGACAACTATGAAGTTACAATAATACAAGGATTGATGCGGATGACAAATAGATGGGTAGAAAGATAAAGAATAGATGGTTTTTGCTTCACCTCTGCCTTGGGGAAGAGGATCTGACCACCCTGGGTGACATTTGAGAGATACAAAACAACTGTTGCCGTTGAAAGCTCACTGAGTACCAGTGTTGATTTATTTCCAAAATAACTAAAACTTTGTTTGGCATCTTCAAACCCAAATTGCATAACTTGTAAAGGCTTACTGTTCTCTGCAGAATAGCAAATATTAAGTGATGATATAACACATCACACCACAAAGGTTAATCACAAACAAGAAAGGAGTGATGGAAAACCAAGAAGCATAACCAATGGAAAAACCTTTAGGAAGAAAAGTCCAAGCTGAAATTCTTTCCTCAATCCTTGCAGTTATTTCATTCTACAAACCACCAAGATCATCATTGAAGTGGCATGAGCATGAGTTTTACATTATCGCACAAAGTAAATTTTTATTATGAAACCTGGATATCAGTTAGCACTTAGCAGAAACCCTAGCTTGTTTTTCAGACAGTCTGGGACCAATAAATAAATATACTAATTCTCATTTGCAGTTTGATAACTAGAGTTCATTCAACTAAAAAGGCAAGATAAGAATAAACAAACAGGACTAGAGTCATAATACAAAGGCACAATTTCTAATTTTCTTGAACAGCGAGGAGTTTCATCAAGTAGCAATGCTCTATAGATGATATCAAGTAACAGCAAAACTGCAACGAGGGGGAAATGTGTGTTGACCTGTTCACGAATGATTACATTATAGCATCATTAACCTTTTCATCTAAAAAGAACACAAACAAATCAAAAGCAGTCATAAGAGAAAACATTTATGCAAGGAACTGCAAGGTTAATTACTAGAAAATATACACGACCTTCACATGGAGGCTGACCTTCACAACAAAACATGGCATCAGAATATTAATTTGCATAAAAGACGCTAGTATCAATAATTTGGAAAACATGAACCTCACCTTTATATTAAAATACTTGGTATATGTAAGCAGCTTTACCTTGTCAACTTTTGCTGAATCGTCACCACCCGCCACAGAATTTTCTTTCTTGCCATGCACCTAAAATGCCATATAAATATTCAAAAGACAGTCAAATCATACAGGGAGAGATAAGGAAAATACAACAACAGACTTACCAAAGAGATTAGGTGGTCGCACTCTTCATCCGATAGAAAGCCTCTGTACAAGAAGACCCTATCCCAAGAAAAATAATGTCAATTATTCTGGAGGTGTTCTATTTGAAAAAAATAAATCATAAATAATCTCCGACAAAAACAATTGTACTTTGTACAATGATTCGTATAAATACAAGCTACATATTCCCATAATTGCAGAATTTATCGAATGCTGTATTCATACTAAACAGTCTCAACTGACATAAGGCACAACAAGCAAAAAATAAAAGTTTATCAGAGTACCTGACCTTGGTCGCCAAGAGAGTTGAACAACTCGTGATGGATCAATTCTGTGGGATTGAACTTTATGACCCAATTGTATAACAAATGCTTGCTTCACCTCCTTAGTTCTTAATTCCTTCCGGTTACTGAAGCACAATAGTTTCATAAAACACGGCCATATTAGCAACCAAAGAACATCTTAAAGACATTATTCCCTAGTCACTGAAAGGCATTACTGTATATTCAGCATTTAATGCAGATTAAGGGCATAGCGCAAAATCATCATAGATGATCACTGATCTAAGAAAAAAATTCCATAATTATGGTAGAAATAACTTCTGTCCATAATAAGTGCTTAAGATTTTCAAGAAACTTGAATCACTATCAGCAAAGTGACCAATGATTTAATCGGACAAGCAGCTCATCTCTTAGCATAGACTCTTAATAATACAATCCCATTTCTTAACCAAAATGAGGAAAGTAGATACAAATTGAAGGACTTTCTAGGAAGAACCTCGTACGATGCTACAGAAGCTATGATTATTTACAGTCGTATGATTGTAACGAAACTAAATATATCAACTTATTCAACCAAAATCCCCCCAATTGATGTTTGAATCGAAGTCCGAATACCATATAAAATCAACAACTAAATTTTCACCCTACACGCCCAAATCAAGGAAATATAGAGCCCAAATTAGAGCTAAAATTGTTAAATTTGCAAATATTATGAACAAATAAACAATACCCATCAATAAAAATTCAATATATTCAGGCTAAATTGCGAAAACAATCGAAATGGGTTTCTTACTTATCTGCATAAACACTCGAGAAAGAACACGTAAACGCCAGAAGAAGGAACTGTAAGAGATGGGCCGCCATGAATGCCTGTAGAGGATGGGAGAGGGAGAGGGAGAGAGTGGAGAGATTCCCAAAGAAGTTCGGAAATCAAAGCTTATAACAAACATACTTCACTGAATTTGATAGTAGAAAACAGGGGAGGGGAAAGAATTCTCTCATTAGGCAACTTTTTGTGTTTACTGTTTATTTATTGTTTACATTCCTTGAAATCATGCTTATATCATGTTGGTTGAGTCGGGTTGTGTTGATTTTTAGTGATAGCCCGATTTATTTATTAATGGGTAATTATTATTGATACTCCCTTATGCATATTTTCAACGAAAATTCTCTATTATTTGAAACATTATTGTCACATTAATAACGTTAAATTAGAATATAATTTTACTTAATTATTTATGATATTTTTTTAAAAAAATTTTTTCCATACTTTTTCTAAATAGGCATATATTCACTAATCTATTTTCTAAATTTTTTTACGTATTAAAATTTGAGAGGNACATTAATAACGTTAAATTAGAATATAATTTTACTTAATTATTTATGATATTTTTTTTAAAAAAAATTTATCCATACTTTTTCTAAATAGGCATATATTCACTAATCTATTTTCTAAATTTTTTTTACGTATTAAAATTTGAGAGGATTAAAATTTATTTTTTTTACATATTTTTTTGTATTAAAATTTAAATTTTAATCGGCTCGAATTGAATTTTAATTAATCTAAATTCTAATACGTAAAAAAAAATAAAATTTAATCGACGCTAACGACTTAGGATTAAGCTCAACTCGGNAATTTGAGAGGATTAAAATTTATTTTTTTTACATATTTTTTTGTATTAAAATTTAAATTTTAATCGGCTCGAATTGAATTTTAATTAATCTAAATTCTAATACATAAAAAAAATAAAATTTAATCGACGCTAACGACTTAGGATTAAGCTCAACTCGGCTCAAATTTAATACGTAAAACAAATCAAATTTAATTAGCTCGAATAGAATTTTAATCGAATCAAATTTTAATATATAGAAAAATAAATTTTAATTGGTTCAAATTTTATGTAGAAAGATTGTTTGGGATCTATGTTTGGGCAATTTTGATATTTTAAATAATTTATTTGTTAAAAACGGTGATTTAATAGTAAAAAGTAAATATAAATTAAAAAAAGTGTAATTGATGTTTTTGATAATAGAAAGAGTCTCATTGAAAATATGTGTAAATAATAATTACACTTTAATTATCCTAATTATCAAATTTCATATGAAAATTTGTGTATACCCAATATATAAATGAGCAGTGTTGAGTTGAATCGTATAGGGTTGAGTCCTCTTGTTAGGTAATTTAAAGAAAATATATATTTTTTAATTTCGTGTCCTGANTCGAATAGAATTTTAATCGAATCAAATTTTAATATATAGAAAAATAAATTTTAATTGATTCAAATTTTATGTAGAAAGATTATTTGGGATCTATGTTTGGGCAATTTTGATATTTTAAATAATTTATTTGTTAAAAACGGTGATTTAACAGTAAAAAGTAAATATAAATTAAAAAAAGTGTAAGCGATGTTTTTGATAATAGAAAGAGTCTCATTGAAAATATGTGTAAATAATAATTACACTTTAATTATCCTAATTACCAAATTTCATATGAAAATTTGTGTACACCCAATATATAAATGAGCAGTGTTGAGTTAAATCGTATAGGGTTGAGTCATCTTGTTAGGTAATTTAAAGAAAATATATATTTTTTAATTTCGTGTCCTGATCATGTTTTATCGCTTATAAAACTGATTTTCGTTGCGGGCTACACGAAACTTCATGCTTTCATCCGAGCAAGAGGAGTAAAAATCACAGCATATCAAGTGAGAATATCTCACATTTGTTTCAGTGGCAATACGTTGTGTCGATGAAATTATACCCTTCAAAAGCTTCAGACTCCCGAGACTTGTATCTCATACGGTAGTTTGGCTCCATTGATGGTATAATGTGCTCAAAATTATTCAGCATTGAGCATGCCATATGATTTAGCATTGCTTTTCACTGCATCCAATACTCTTGAACACTACTTCATACAATCAAAGTGTTTCATATTTCGAAGTTTTAAGACACCTTGGTAATTCACAGGGAGTTCATCCATGTCTTCTTCAATCTTTTTCAGCTATGATATCAAATAATACAGAATTACAAAAGAATCACTGAATGGTACTCGCCACAACCATTGATTAGCGTTAGCCCTTATGTGACTTCTCCAGCACTATATGACCAGACTCATCCTTATCAAAAAGATGCTCAATCAGTTCATTCCAGCTTTCCCTCTTCTTACTTCTCTTGGACGACCCCGTGGAAGTATCTGAACTTGATTTATGGGAATCCTCCCCTTCCTCTTGGTCATTAAAAGTTCCATATGGAGAAGGTGAATAGGCATGGGGTACATTCAATGTCACTGCCCTCTGCAGCGCAGCCTTGTATTCTTCACTGTGCTCCCTGGCTAAAGTCTCCTGCCGCTCCATCTTCTGTTTTGCAGGTATCTCCATAATATTATTTTTCTCGTGAAGTAGCTGCAACAGGAGGAAAGGGGTTGGAAAAATGTCGATGCAATGGATGAAAAACATAAGAAACTAATAGAAATATTCAGGTCTTAAAATCAAGTACTTCAGTGCAAGTGCGGTGTATGTCATTATATGAGGAGAGATATATACTATAAGATCATGGCTCTCAATGGTGAATAACAATTGCAAAGTAGTCTTTATAACATTTTATTTGAAAGAGGACAGAGGTCATTTGCGTTTCATTTTACCTATGCAAGTGACATAACAATATTGACTAATTTCTGCAAAGTGCTAGTTGAGTTGAAAATTAAGTCTCACCGTCAATGGTATCGCATTGTGGACCAGTAAAACTTCAGTTGTATGCCGCAAACCTCAGGCATAAAGAAGTTTTCAAGCATAAGGTGGACATAAGCACTCATTGGGGGGGGGAGGGGGGAGAGAAACCAAGTGCCTTGGTTGTGCATTGGTGAATCATTTCCAAGTGAGATACCTGGTCTCTAATGCCTTCTGTTGAAATCTAGACCTATAAACAGATCCACTAGATTTCTGAAAACCGAAGAGAATAAAGTGAAATTTTGAAAGACAGTGGAGCCGATTTGAAAATTTGCCTTCACCCATTAATAACAAATCATAAAAGAACATAGAACTCACATTCAGAGCTCTTTGGGCTTCCCTCTCTATCCAAATGATGCCATGGTCAGAAGTGGCATTACATGAGAGAACTATGTGCTCGAATCTCCCGTCAACGGGAACTGCTGTCCTCACCACAGGGGGAAATCTTCCACACCTGCGTGCAGAAGATGCACGTGGTACATTCAGCATTGTTCAAAGTTGAATTTTTTTGTCAGAAGAAGGATGACCCATACAATCTTTGTAGTTGTGGTATTGGCTTTTAGACCTACCAAATCATCAATTATTCAAACATCTGTACATGGATGTAGTGCATAAGATGAGACACAATGGCACAGACGACATTTTTATACAAGAAAAAGTGAATGCCAACATAATTTCACTTTCTGCAACTTATACAGGATGTTTGTTTAGTAAAGGCTATTCTGCAACTAGTCAGTACCAAGTTTTGTTCAGTTCATAAAGACAAATTACATTGTTACTTGTAACCATATATAACAGCTCAATCAAGTGAAAAAACTATGCTCATAATGTATTTTAATGTACCTGAAAGGCTTTCTCTCAACAATGTGATAGAGGCGGCCAGGAGCATAAAGCCTCCTTGGATCTTTTAGCATCTTCTGCTCAGGTATGCATGTATCTCTCATGCATCTTAGGCATAATAAGCACGGCAAACTGTTCAACGGCAGAAAAACCAGCCTCTGTATTAATATTGACACTCCAAGTACCGAAAAAGAGTACCTACTATTTACTAACACGAGTAACACATGCTATTACTATTTAGTTAATATGATAGCACTCAAAATGGTGATGGAGCAATTTTTTGCCCAAGCCCTGATCTATATCCTGGGCAGGGTTGGCCTCCCGACCCATGCCCACCCCTGAGGCCATAGGATTTTGCTTGATGCCGGGCCTAGGGCTGTTACTGCAAGGGGATCACTCGGCCCGCCCATCGCACGGCCAACTCTAAGCATAAATACATCCCAAAGAAAAAAAGACATCAAAGGCATACGTCTGGTTAATATGATAGCAAATTTACGAGCCAGCCAACAGCAAAAGATTGAGCATTTGAAGAAGTTTTTAAACCCAACAATATTTTACCAGAAAAGTGACTTGAAAATGTCTTCCAAAGGGGTGGCCGTCCGAGGCAAGAAGTCATCCTGTTTCAATAAAGAAACGGCATTAAAAGTTGAGCACACATTATGATATCATTGAACATATAAACAAGCCAATAAAGGAATCAAGTAGGTCCAGCATACAACAATGTCATGACAATGCATCTAAGAGAGTCACTAGCATAAAACCATCACACAGTACCCCTAACAGCTTGCCACAAGTTTAACACTAGATATATTCATGACCTCAATATAGAGAGAAAACAGATGGTGGGCTTAGAATTTTAGTAAGACACTAGCATGCCTCCTATGATCATACGTAACACCCAAAGAATATCCCCACCGACACAACGTCCCAGGCTTTTATTCAATAGCACTAGCTGTTATTCACATTGTATTTACCTTTAAATACATGGGTCCACTACCCAGACAAATAAATCACAGAATAATCTGCCATAGCATTTCTCAGCATCTCATCAGCAAAGACAACACAATCTGGCAAATTCAAATTCCTCACAATGTGCTGATTTTGAGTACTATTCTGCAATTTTAGTGATAGCAAACTTCCTCTAAGTCCTTGTAGCCATTTCAAACTACTCATGCTTTTCTTTCTTGTTCAGTATGATAATACATTGATGAAAATAATCAGCAATTATCGTTACTTGCCTTCTCTACCTCCCACCTGATAGCAACCCGTGCATAAAACACGTCCAATCCTTGCTATGTCAGCTAACATTACATTGTTAATGAGGAAATCCCACCAACTTCCAGTATAGGGGGATCTACAAATAGAGATTCTGTGCATACGTTCCTGAATACATAAACCAAAGCCTGATGGTGGATAAGACTCTGTATCCTATCCTGTGTGCTAAGCCTTCCAAAGATGGCCGGCCACTCATAATGTAACGATGTATTGAGGCACAAATTTCGGAGACCGAACTGGCAAACAATGCCACAACCACACCACAATGGAGCCCCTATTGCTCAGAGCCCCCATGCTTAGTACTAGACCCACTCAAAATGCAACAAAAAAATCCTGATGCATGGACAAGCTGAAACTGCTTTCTATCATGATACACACCAACTAAGTAAAGAACTTCAAATGTCTTCTAGTATGACCTACTGCTTGAGCACCATTATTACACCCCAACACTAAAGCAACCTTATGGATATTATTAACTCTAGTTTCAAATTTGATACACTCCTAGAACACAAAAAGACTTATTTTCCAGTACAAGCTACTACAGTTGGTAAGCTACTCCTTTGGTACAGTGATAAGGTTGCTCCATCATGACCTAGGTGCTATGAGTTTGAGTCGAAAACAACCTCCCTTCATGTGGGTTAAGGTTGCATACACTTTATCCACCCCATACCCTGTAGTGCTGGGAGCCTCGTGCATTGGGCTACCTTTTCAAGCTCTTACAGCAGACATTATGAACAACATAAACAAGACACCAATCTGAATACCAGAAGTTAAGATTTATATGTAAATCGAATGTAACAGAGGATGTGACAATGCAAAACCAATTGAAATGCAGCTATGGACTCAAACCAAACAAATACCAATGCTGCCATGATATTAAAACACACCCATCAAAAGTAATTGTCCAAAGTTCTTCCCAAAAAAAAAAAAAAACACTAAGAAAAAGGGCAGAGGAACTTGCCTGAAGCACAACAGAATTGATGACATCTGCATATCTCACTGCCAAATTCAGTGACATACATCTGGCTGGTGCAATAGCATAACATCTGATCTTCTTCCTGTCAATATTCCCTAGCTTATCGCGATTCTGCACCACCACCATTGTCAATGATGCTGCCACACCTGACCCAAGGGAATGTCCCGCAAATGTCAAAGTGTAATTTGGGTATTTCTCCACCAATTCCTTCAAAGTCTCACACTCTGCATCCAACACCCACCCAGCTGCTTTTAACAGCCCATTGTGAACATATCCACCATCAAATTTCCTTTGCCCCAGCTTATTGTCAAGTAAAACTGCATAATCACTCTCCTTTGCCATATTAAGGCCTCTAATAGCAAGAACTATATCAGCATGCTTATGGTCAAGACNCACTCTCCTTTGCCATATTAAGGCCTCTAATAGCAAGAACTATATCAGCATGCTTATAAGATACAACAGATATGGAGGAACCTGTCCATGAGTATCTTTATAAGTTCTTTTCAAAATTAACCAATCTGGATCGATTCCATACCCAGCAGGAGGTTCCCAAAGGGGATGCCTAAGATCATCTTCGTACACAGCCAGTATGTACCGGCAGAGCCTAGGGATAGGTTCGATTTCTTCAGCACTGGCAAGGCCCCAAGTCTCACTGTCATGGCCTGCAGTGTGGAGACATCGTTTCCACGCCCAGCGAGCACAGGCTAGACAGTAAACACACTCGAGGAGAGGGAGGCCACAAAGGATCGACATTGATGCCTAAGGTCTGCTCATCACAACATGGATCCAGAAGAATTTGTTTTAACTTCAATGGCAGAATTGGTCGAGAATTGTTGGTAGTTGAATCAAATAATCCAGGGCTTCAAAGATTGGATTTGAATCGTGATACAAAAATTCAAATGGGTACTGAATGGTTGGCAAATTCTCACCTGGGTACTTGAAACCAGGTGATTATTGGTCAATGGATACAGTATAATCGCGATAAATTTACAGCACATAAGACAAACTGAACTTTTGGGGAACAATAAAAGTATCGAACAAGAAAACCCAGTGACTGAAGACTGGATTTTATATCAGACAACAGATTTATGTGAATTGTGCACTAAAATGCAATCAGGGATTCTGGGTATTGAACAAGTAATTGACTAGTGATAGAATAATATCTACTACATACATTCAAGAAAGAAGAACAACCCAAGTTCCAGATTGAAACATTGATTAAGAAACTGGGAGTATCGGTGCATAAACAGAGATGCCGAGTACAGGTTTTAGATTAAACCATGTACCTTTCACTGCCTTGTTGACTGTTGTCAGCAGGAGAAAAAGTAGGACTCGGAAGATAGGTGTGGATGAATAATTCGTTGTCAAGTTGTGTTTTTGAGGAGAAAACTGAGAAAGAAATGAATTGAAATGGGAGGGGAGAGAGAGAGAGAGAGAACGGGCGAGGCAACTGAATCAAACCAACCAACCAACGCATGGGCTACTGTTACAGTTATTGCTTTTAGGCATAGCGATAGATCTACTGCTAAGACTGGAATGGGTGACACCAAATCAAAATTGATTGAAAATGTGGGCCTGTTTTCCAATCCCAATTGAAATCTACATCTCANAACCAACCAACGCATGGGCTACTGTTACAGTTATTGCTTTTAGGCATAGCGATAGATCTACTGCTAAGGTGGGGGAAGGGAGACTGGAATGGGTGACACCAAATCAAAATTGATTGAAAATGTGGGCCTGTTTTCCAATCCCAATTGAAATCTACATCTCAAAGTCTGCCATCCATTTTTTAAATTTTGCAAAAACGAAATGCGAATCCCAATTACGAGGGCACCGTATGCAATTTGGACACTCTTATCATAAAATTCCTCTTAAAAGCGATCCAAATCATAAGGTATGTTATAGTAATTATTATTCTTTTTTTTAGCTATTTAAAAAGAGAGTCGGGGCAACAGAGAGCACTTGAGACTACTGATGCAATCATGAAATCTAACTAAATTAGTATAACAATTAACTAACGAACTCCAATGTAGACTCTAAAATTCAAATATCTAATCTTAAGCTGAAAAATTTAATTGATACCCCACTGAACTACCCTTCTCAATGGTGTGTTATAGTAATTATTCAAAAANAAAATTCCTCTTAAAAGCGATCCAAATCATAAGGTATGTTATAGTAATTATTATTCTATTTTTTAGCTATTTAAAAAGAGAGTGGGGACAATAGAGAGCACTTGAGACTATTGATGCGATCATGAAACCCTTGACCTTCAGAAACAAACTTAATTAAATTAGTATAACAATTAACCAACGAACTCCAATGTAAACTCTAAAATTCAAATATCTAATATTAGGTTGAAAAATTTAATCGATACTCTACTGAACTACCCTTTTCAATGGTATGTTATAGTAATTATTCAAAACGTTGTTAATACAATTGTTTCGTGTTGCTTTCACCATCATTGGACTATGTTGTCAAACGTGTAATTAAAAATACAGATGTAGAAAGCCTTAGCAAGTATCTTTTGGTTTTTATTCTCTACAAGAGCATAAATGAGAGGCCAATATTAAACGCCCAACTCTTCTTATTGGAAATTGAGCAATGTATATAATTTAGAGATTTAATGTTTGTGATNGCTTTCACCATCATTGGACTATGTTGTCAAACGTGTAATTAAAAATACAGATGTAGAAAGCCTTAGCAAGTATCTTTTGGTTTTTATTCTCTACAAGAGTTCTTATTGGAAATTGAGCAATGTATATAATTTAGAGATTTAATGTTTGTGAGTATTGGATTTTCAATGAATTTTAACATTGAATGAAGTTCATTTTTAATATAATACATTAAGCCCACAAACTATTTTTCAAAATTATGTACTAATAGCATTAATGGATTGGAATTACAACAATTAAATTGTTTTAGTCTGCATTAGTAAATATTCAATGTAATAGTTATCTCATCATTACTATAACGTTGTATAATCAATCAATAATAAATAAATAAATAAGATTAGTGAATCTCACTAATCTTACATCGTGAATATAAAAGTTATTAGTGATTACACAATTTAGTAAGATTATTATTCATAATTGATCAAACCTCAGTTATTATTAGAGGTGTCTATGAACCGGGTCGGATTAGACTTGAAAATTTTTTTTGAGGGCTGGGCCTAGGNGTTGTTAATACAATTGTTTCGTGTTGCTTTCACCATCATTGGACTATGTTGTCAAACGTGTAATTAAAAATACAGATGTAGAAAGCCTTAGCAAGTATCTTTTGGTTTTTATTCTCTACAAGAGTTCTTATTGGAAATTGAGCAATGTATATAATTTAGAGATTTAATGTTTGTGAGTATTGGATTTTCAATGAATTTTAACATTGAATGAAGTTCATTTTTAATATAATACATTAAGCCCACAAACTATTTTTCAAAATTATGTACTAATAGCATTAATGGATTGGAATTACAACAATTAAATTGTTTTAGTCTGCATTAGTAAATATTCAATGTAATAGTTATCTCATCATTACTATAACGTTGTATAATCAATCAATAATAAATAAATAAATAAGATTAGTGAATCTCACTAATCTTACATCGTGAATATAAAAGTTATTAGTGATTACACAATTTAGTAAGATTATTATTCATAATTGATCAAACCTCAGTTATTATTAGAGGTGTCTATGAACGGGGTCGGATTAGACTTGAAATTTTTTTTTGAGGGCCGGGCCTAAGTAAAGTAGATCCAATTCCTTACTCAGATGAGTTATTGAGCGGGGTTTCCGGTAAAAGTAGTCTACTCACAATTCAACTCGCCATTCATTGGGCGGGTCTTTTTATATATTTTCATTTAAAAAATTTTTAATTTAGTATTTTTATAAATTATATTTTAAAATTAAAAATAGAGTCAAAATAGAGAAAAAATAAATAATAAATACTATCCTAAATTACTCAACTTAGTATTTAAATAAACAAAAAAAAAATATTTTAGAGGAAGACGCTACCAAACTTTCAATGGGTCATTTTTTTTTACACCAAATAAAGAGGATGGACGGGTGGGGGCGAACTGGGTTGGTAGGGCAAGCGGATTCTTGAGCTAGGATTTAATGGGTGAGTTAATGAGTCGAGTTTTGGGTCAGACAATGAACTTGGGCCAGGCTCAAGCCTTTTACTAAAAAATATTGGGCTCAGATATGAGTGGTCCACAATCGAGTTTATTTTTTTTAGGTTGCAAAATAAGTCCCGGAGGTCAACTCAATCCATAAACACCCCTAGTTATAATGAGAAAATTTTGCATGGATTATACACAACACGCGACAGGCCCATGCGGTGAGTAGAACCAATAAAAAAGGGACACATGAGTAGTTGTCACGTGCATTACACATCAGCACTTTAACTCCTCTTTCTCCATTTACATCAGCACTTTAACTCCTCTTTCTCCATTTGTTACTTAACCTCCGTTAAGATGACTGTTGTAAAGACAGTTGTAGAGATCAACTCAGTTACATTTTTTAGACAAGTGATTGACTAGATGTTGTAGCATTACTTACCTATTAATTAAAAATTCATTATTGTTTTAACTATTACTCATTTGTCAATCACTTGTTTATTACCTTCCCACCGTAAAACTCTCATTCCCACTTTCCCATTTTTAAAGTAATATCTCNTACCTATTAATTAAAAATTCATTATTGTTTTAACTATTACTCATTTGTCAATCACTTATTTATTACCTTCTTTCACCGTAAAACTCTCATTCCCACTTTTCCACTTTCAAAGTAATATCTTTCCTTCAAGTTCTCTTTCTTTTTCTCCATTAGTCACGTTTTCTTTTAACATTTCAAAATTATCACTTGAGAATTGGTAAGAAATTAGTTTCTTTTCTCTCACTAGGTATAATGTTTTTTGTTTTGTATTTCTCATGTGTTGAGGTTTATTGTATGCAGAGTCAACGTGAAGAGTGGGGACATAGATTGAACAATGACTTCAAATCGTGGCAAACAAATTGTAGAAATTGGTTTTTTTTTTAGATTCAAATTAATTATGTATGTTTGATTTAGCTATACATGGATGAAATTTTAACTATATGTCATTACATAATTTTACACTATAAAATCTGTGACGATGACAACGAACAAGTTAGAGCTGACTATTTTAAGATTAATGCACCTGATCAATTTTTAACTACCAATAATGATGATTGTGAGTTGAAAGTTGGTATGTTAGTGTTTATTGAAGAGGAGGCATTTAAGATGTACATCAAATATGCATACAATAAAGGTTTTAGCATTCAAAAGGGCATAGAAGCTTTTCAAGAAACACAGGGGAAGTTAGCAGATGCATGTTTTAGGTTCAAAAGAGGGATTTAGAGAATTTACAGACCCAAGTGAAGAGAAAAAATCCAATAAATTAAATACGAGATGTAGTTGTCAAGCTCGTATTATCTTTACGGTGAAAAATGACGTGTATGAAATTTCACAGTCTTTCTCTGAGCATAATCACTCTTTTGTTGAATCTGAACAACGACACCTAATGAGATCCGCCCAAAAGATACAAAATACTATTAAAGTTGTTATTAAATCAATGATTAACGTTGACATAAGAGCTACAAAAACATTTTCTTATTTGGTAATTAAAGTTGGTGAATATCAAAATGTTGGATTTACTCAGAGTGATTGTCATAATTTTATACAAGCTGAAAGGTTAAAAAAAAAAAATCTACCGGTGATGGTAAAAGTTTGATTAATTA